CAGACGAACACAAAAACTGGGATCCTGCCGGCGGAAGTCTCAAATCAGGGAGGGATCAAGGACATATACGATCCCCGAACCCTGGAGCGATCTACAGGACTGTAACCTTCCCAGTCCACAAGGTATTGCCACCCACACCCACGGGGACGGGCATCAATGATGCGACGAACCATGTAGGCGGGGTGGCCATCAATGTCCAAAGGGGGGGGGCTCAGCAGGTGGGCACAGAGGACTCAACGAGACAGGCTTGATCTGGGACACATGGAAGGTGGGATGGATGCGAAGAGTGGACAGAAGGCGGAGACGAACGGCAGATTCCCCAATGGTCCTCTCCACCTCATAAGGACCAATGGATTTTGGGGACATCTTCCTGGACATAGACTTTAGGGGGATGTCCCGAGTGGAAAGCCAGACCTTCAGGCCCGGGCGGTAGGGAGCGGCAGCTCTCCTCCTATGATTAGCCCACCGTTGATCCTGCTGGGAAGTCCTTCCCAGGGCCGTCCTGGCCCGGTTCCAGAAGGTCCGGCAGCGGCTGATGTGCTGTTGTTCGGACGATGTCTGCCTCTTCTGAGGGAAACAGAGGTGGCTGGTGTCCAAGGGAGATCTCAAAGGGAGATAGACCAGAAGGTGGGTAATGAGAGGGCTTGTTGCGAGCACAGGTGGGGCAGGCCAGTACGAACTCCTTGACATCCTTTAACAAGGAGGGCCACCAAAAGCAATGACTTATCTGGGCAACCGTTCTGCTTATCCCTTGATGAGCAGAGAACGTGGAAGAATGCATCCAGTTAATAACTCTGGCTCGTAAGGAGGTAGGTACATACATATGGTTGGGTGGCAAAGTGCCAGGATCTGGTTCAGTCTGTTGAGCCTGTTTGATTAAATCCTCAATCTCCCAGGTTACCGCAGCGACGCACCAGCTAGGACACAGGATGGGAGCAGCCGACTCTTCAGATTCGTCCGGGGAAAACTGCCTAGAGAGGGCTCCCTCAAGCCAGTGTCTCCATTCTCCCAGGGCCAGTTTAATGGCTAGAAGTTCTCAATCACCCACATCATAATTTTTTCCTGCTGGAGTGAGCCAGCGAGAGAAAAAGGAACATGGGTGTAGCTTATTATCGGTACCGGAAACTTTGGAGAGAACAGCTCCAACTCCAGAATCTGAGGCGTCCACCTCCACCACAAAAACTGGGATCCTGACAAATGATTTCTTTGCCTGGGTGATGAATTTTCTCCAACTGGTTCTAGAATTGCGCTGCTTAAAGTTATTGTAAATATTTATCACTGCAGCCCAGGTATTAAAGTGTCAGAACTTCTCCCGTGATGTCATCATCTGTGTTGTTGCTAAGCAAACAGACACAACAGCCAAATGCATATGTGGCAATAACTGGGAAATTTAATCACACAACACTCATCACTCATAACTGTAAGAAGATGGCCACAGGAAGCTTGAGAAGACCTGCAATTTTATTTTGAGGCTACAGACTGGGATACACTGTCAGCCACATAGAGAGGACATCAATGCTCTAAGTGTGTGGCTGACTACATAAAATTATGTGTAACACCATCTCCACAGGAACAGTGAAATGCTTACCAAATTATAAACCATGAATCACAAGTGATCTGAAGGAACTGCACAACAAAAAAACAAAAAACAAGCCTCTATGAAGGGAGACAGGGAATTAATGAGGAGTATACAGAGGCAACTTAAGATCAAGGTAAGACAAAGCAAGAAGGCATACAGGAAGAGGCTGGAAAGCAAGCTCCAGCAGAACATCTATATGTTTGGCAAGGAGATCACAGGGTTTAAGCAAAAGGGTGATCAGACAGAGGGAAGTCTGGATAGAGCCCCTTCATCAACAGGTTCAATTCAGGAACAAGATCAACATCTTTCTCTAATGCCCACAGTCATATGGACATGGACCTCTTCTGCCATTGGCTTTTTGTCAGCCAGATCAGAGGATGGTGCTGCGCCCTCCTCTGATCTGGCTGACAAAAAGCCAATG